GTGATATATCCCCCAATATTTGACAAGGGGGATGGTCCATTGTATCATCCCCCCAATATTTTGACTATGTATGGGATAAAATGGAGCTTTACACCTTCAAAAGACTGTCACAGAAATAATTTGCACAGTCTTATGCGCTTACAAAGATGAAAATTAGCATAATGTATTTATGTTGATAACAAAATTATTTTATCTGGTACCAATCTAAGCTCTTCTTTCCTTAGACGTTAGATGTGCTTGCAGAGAGAGCCACATTTCACACTGAGGGGTGTGTACGACATCTGTTATGTCAATTCCAAGAATGTTTAAGGTTATATCATATCGGTTGATAAAGAATTTATTGATTAGGCCTATAATAGCAAATTGCATCAATTTATTTTGCCTGTTCCCACTGCTGGCCGCGCGCAAAAACTCTAAATGGCGGGTGGCAACAGAGAAGTGATTTTGTTATCGCATTGATAGACGGAGGAAAAGGGCTGTGAGACGGATCAGATAAAATCCTCAGGATTAACATTCCCAGAACTCTATAATGAATCAAAAGATTGATATTAGGCCCATCCTAGCCTACCCTACGGTAGGTCTCAGGTGTAGCAGGGTATCAGAGGCCTAGGCTGGACAGGCCTAATACTGGTAGAAAGAGGAGATAACTCAACTCATCTATGCAAATCCTTTTCCACGCATTGTCACATATTTTCTTTGCTCCCTTGTCACAGACCTACTGGGAAGGGTAGCCTACTGTTCCACAGAGTTTGCATGAAACGGACTCGTCGGTCATCTTTCGCACGTAATTTGTACATTGTTTTGACAATGTTCATGATCGTGACTTTATTGTTGACCTTTGATTTAAATTGAATCTAAGCCTTGCGATTGGTCCGAAAAAGTTGTTCTTGGATCAACTCTTGTGAATTCGCGTGTTCGACTACAAATTCGTTTGCATGTTCACATTGGAAACGCCAGTCGCGTCTTCGATTCAGCCGCGCGCGCCACATTTCGGGGCGAAATTCGCTTGATCGCGTTCAGTGGGAACCGGCCTATTTAAGCAGCTGTCATGGCGAACCTTCATCGACTTCGCGAAATTGTCGTCTTTGCATATATTCTACAGGTGTCTTGGACGATGAGGAATTCATGTTTTTATACAATACAAATAAACCCAAAAATGCCGAATTCAGGTACCGAGATTATCAGAAATTTGATCTAGACAAGTAGGCCTACAACAATGATGAATGTAATGCATACTTCAGGGCGCATACGGTGCGTCAACTGCGATGATGCAGATAGTTAACAGGCCTCCCCGGCCGACTGCGCTCGCTGCGGTGCAAGTTTGCATTGCATGCACACTGGCGTAAGTACGCTCATGAATTTCCACAGCCTTTTTTGTGTTTACGAAGGCAGTAGAAATTACATAACTGCCTGTGCATTAAAAAGCAAATAATACAGATTAATTCAACACAAGTTAGAAACTTCACTCAGACTCTGTCTCTGCCTCAGTTTGATATTGCCACTATATTTTCATCTTCCATCTTTAAACTTCACAAGCGAGCACGACGTCCTAGATTTAGGACGACGGGAAAAACGAGGTGAACACGTTCTTGATTTTGGTAGTGGAAGAGATGACGCATGCGCAGTGCTTTAAACTGACCTCATCACGAAGCAGTCCATTATGTCGATGTGAACATGATGTCGAGCCCGAAAGACGTCGCTGACTGGCAAGAAGAAATCGTCAGTGCAACTAAAAAGACAGTGTGTGGCTTATATGATTGTTATTCTGAAGTATATAATAAGGTACTGTCTTTTATATTGTAAAAAAACAGATATTAATTAATCATTAGACCTACAACTGAAAATAAGCTGTGGTCTTATGCTTAGACTTCTTTTAATTCAAATCCGAGGTTCTGATTGGTTGTACCATGATTATACCAGGGTATGCCGTGGCCTGGCTCATAGGATAAGCTTTTGGGCGGATTTTTTGACATCATGTTATTTAAAAAATCATAACTCTATAACGGGGCGTCGTATCCCAAAAAAATTTCCAGCAAAATGTTCTTAAAAGACTAGTCTACACCACTATATGATTGAAAAATAATTGAAAAATTTTTTTGACCTCTGAAATCAAGATTGAAAAAAAAGCCTATCTCAGTAGTGTATTAAAATAGGCCAATGCATTACAGTGCAGTATATGGAGTTATGATTTTTTAAACAACATGATGTCAGAAAATCAGCCCAAAAGCTTATCTTATTTCTGTTGGTTACGCACCGCTGATTCGCAATGTTTGTCATCACTTCAAGATGTCTACCGATTCGTGAAAAAGGCCTAATATGCCAAATCTGCAAAATGTGGCTCTAAACACCGCCATTAACGATTGCAAGGCCTACTCGCGCTAAAGGTTGAAAAAAATCTATATATTGCATAAGAGGATTTTTGGGAATCGGGGTCGGCCGGGATGTGTTTTTTTTTTTTTTTTTTCCTTTTTTTCTAATGTTTTAGATGTGTATAAGAGACAGCAACAGGCCTTACAAATAATATAGGCCTATATTTGTTTTTTTTTTTAAAATACAATTTAAGGGTATGTGATTGCACCATGGTCAGCATCCGCCCAAGACTTTTTGGCCTATGAATATTTTGGGCTCTGGAGCACTGTCTTTTATTGAACGGGTTGTCATTTTTTACATGTCATAAAATATTAACTATCTAAAAAATCACATCATTGAACCATTCAAGTACTGAATAAGTGCATATTCATTATGAATGTGAAATAAAAAATACATGTACTTTAGGGTCGAGTATGCGAGCGAAGCGAGCATCTAGGCTGGGGCCAGGGGGGCCACCAAGGGCCCCCGATGGGGGTCCAGGAGGAGAAGCCCCCTGGAAGCTACGGATACTACAAAGTTTGGTGAATTTTATAAGTTATTTTATAGGCATCAAGGTACTGTAATATGATTTCATATTGTAATTTCCAGCTGCGGATCCAGGAATTCGAAATAGAAGGGCCCGGGGAGGGTACTTTCACAGATAGAAGATCTGTACTACCTCAGCCCCAATCATGGTGGGTAGTAAATGTGTGATTATGGCACCTCTAGATGGCCGGAAATTGCACTTCCAGACATAAAATTTGAATAATTATCTTTATATCTCCATTTTTTATCGAACAATTTAGGAGGGTGGGGGCGGGCGGCCTGGCTGGGTCCCCTTAAATCCGCCACTGGGTACTTCAGCAGATGGAGAATCTATACCACCTCAGCCCCACCATGGGTGGGGATGAGGTAAGAAAATTTGTGATTATGGCCGGAAATAGATGGCCGGAAATTACACTCTTAGACTTAAAATTTGAATATAATTTTCCTTATATCTCCATTAAAAAAAAAAAAGAACAATTTAGCCTCCCCACTCCCCTTGAACGCGCCACAGATTTCTGAACAAAGTCGAAGTCGAGATTGCTTCCACGACCTTAATGAATTATTTATTATGAGGGTATCCTTGATATGGGTTCCCCGATGAAAACTTCACTTTTCCCTCGATGGATAATAATTACCCTTCTATGTAGCTCGGAAATGATACTCCAACTGGCGGGTCCAGGAAGTCGAAATAGAGAGGTTCAGGGAGAGTCTTGAGTAAATAGAATGTCCACCCGCCTCAGCCCTACAATTGTTGGGAAAAATTATGATTATGATTTATGGCACCTCTAGATGGCCGGAAATGGCACTCTCAGATTAAAAGTTGAATACAATTTTGTCTGTTTTCTCCATTTAAAAAAAAATAATTTTGCAAAATATTATAGGATGGGGTCCCGTGCTGACTGGGTTTCCCCTTGAGTCTGCCACTGTTCAATATAACATTTGACATAGCCTATAATTTTGTTTCACAAATGATTAATTGCTAATGTCAAGCGAAATATTTTTATTCGAAATATTTTTTTTTGACTCAATACAGTTTTTACAACCTATAACACATTACCTACATTGTACTGTAAATTCTGTAGTTAATCTTCAGCCAACTTTATTTAAAAAAATAGCCTAATTAAGTATCTTATTGTTTTCATTAAATTAGAGTTTAAATGTGGTTATATTTCGCTAGTTTTAAGGTTTACTGTAAGCCAATCAGTTACACTTACTATACATCTTCGTGGTTAGCATAAAGTGGTTAGCATAAAGAGAACTAGAACGTCGCTCCATTAAGATTTTCCACCCTCGGACTGCATCTTCCGACGGTGATCGCGCATTCTATGCAGCAGCACCCAGGCTCTGGAATGCGCATTACCAATTTAACTCCGCAGATGCAGTTCGCTTGATGTTTTTTAAAAAGACTCTAAAACACATTTACTTCCAGTTGCTTTTAATCATTAATTGTTTTTTTTATCATTGTACTTTTATAATGTTTTTTTTTATTTTCCATGTTTAGCATGTTTGTGTGCGCCTCGGAATAGGTTTACCTAGATAGATGGTGCATTATTATTAAATGCATTATTACTATCTCCAGTGGTGGCACCAGTAGTGTAGGGTGGTGGGGGGGGGGGGAAGAAGGAGAACTTCCAGCCGTCGGGCCATCCTGGACCCCTTGTCGACTAAGTCGTTGGATGAGAAATGAAAATAATGATAATAATAATTGCCTATCCAGATAATGGTATTTTGATAGCCGATCCCTAATATTGTGGTCTGAAAGCACATTTTGGACCATATTAAGTCATAAAAACTCTCTCTGTGAACCCTACATAAGGGAGTTCTTATTCCGGACCGTCCACCGAGGCTTCGTCGGCTCCTTGGCTCGGACCCCTCCCTCGGACATGTCGGGCCCCTTGTCGGAAACCTAAATTTCTGGCGCCACCGCTGTATCGCCCAGATGGTGTCTTTAAGACAAAAGAAGAAAATGAAAAAAATTATAGTATAGAGAAAGTATATTACAAACTTGCTTAATATAGTTTCGCTTCATAGAAGCAATACAGTACTTCAAATTTATGAGGCGCCAAGCGTAAATTTATTATTTAACACAATTATTTATATATAATTCATTATTTAACATGTAATTGAATAGATCACCCATTATTTATATATAATGCATTTGGTAGCAGGTCAACTCGGCCACAAGTCAACTCGGCAACAGTCAACTCGGCCACAAGTCAACTAGGCCATAAGTCAACTCGACCACAAATCAACCCGGCCACAAAAAGTTCGGCTACAGTCAACTCGGCCACAAGTCAACTCGACCACAAGCAACTCGTCCACAAGTTATTTATAATATAATTATAACAAGTTATATATAGGCATAGAATAATATAATTAAAATGGCCGAGTTGACTGTGGCCGAGTTGACTTGTGGCCGAGTTGGATCGAATTCATGCATTTACACCTAAAATATGTAAATAATTGCGTTAACGTTTTCATTATTTATACATAATTAGTTTACTGATTTCATTATGTATAAATAATGAAAGGGTAACCAAACATTATTTATATATAGGCCTAGTAAGATTAATGATTTCATTATATAGAAATGTATACCGTACTGGAAATTCGTCTTTAGACACAAACAAAAGCCTACTAATGCAAACAAATTGCACATTCAATCTTTACTTACACAATAGTCAAGAAAAAAGGAAAGAAACAAAGCTTCAAAAAGGCCTATATAGTATTGATTAAGATTATAAAAGTACAATTTGAATTTATGATTAAGATTATTAATATACAATTTGAATTTAAAAGGTTATAATACAATTAAATAATTTAGATTTACAAATTCAATAAATGTCAATTAAAATTTACATTAAAATACACTTACCGAGTTCCAACGATAAAATAATAAGGATACAATAAGATATCAGAAAAGAATGAGCACGATATGTGGCAAGATTTAAAGTACTGTACAATTTGAGTAAACAAGTTATAAACAATTAATAAATTTAAAAAAAGTTCAATAAGAAAAATAATTTATAGGAATACAATACAAATTTACAGAGACCAAAAAAAAAACAAAAACAAAAAAAAAAAAACAATAAATTTACTCTACCTAGTTTTTTATGTATTAAATAAAATATTATATATTATATATTATATAAAATATTATACATTATATAAAAAATTATATATTATATAAAATATTATATAAAATATAATTTTTATATGTTATATAAAAAATTATATATTATATAAAAAATTATATAATATATAATTTTTTATATATTATATAACAAATTATATATTATATAAAAAAATATATATTATATGAAATATTATATAAAATATTATATAATATATAACGTAAAAAACCATGTAATTGTTTGCTTTTTGCTAAATAATAAGTGAACAGATGGCGCCTCATACTTTCCATACATTTACCATGGGTGACCTAGCTGTGACCTCATGACAGGAAAGTTTTTTCATGATCTGTACGTAATTTCACTGTTCCCTGATCGTACGACAGTAATTTATTCAAAGCATGATCCTTGCGTCTGTGAAAGGCAGTATGGGGGAAACGTCGCGCCCAAAGGACGTAACTGAATGGCAAGAACAGTACGGCAGTGTAACTATAAAATCAGTGTGTAGCTTATATGATCGTTATTCTGACATTTATAATAAGGTACTGTATTTATTGATCATTGGAAACAGAAATTCATCTTTAGGCCTAGAACAACATTATA